ATCTGGCGCCAATCTGGCAGGCCCAATCTGGCAAACGGGGGCAATCCAGTCTGGCGAATAACCCAAATCCTCCAATATGGCCAGGCCGGATTGGCCCTTGGGGCCCAATCCAGTCTGACAGTCTGGCCTTCGACTACCCAGACTTCGCTCGGTGCGAGAGGGCGCGTTCCACGGGCGCTTGGGCGAGAAGCGTTCCCCGGCACGTCGAACGCCGCGGGGATTTCCTTCCCCCCCCCTCTTCCCCCGCAGCACCCCGCGGCCTCGGCGAATCAGACCTCCCCCCTACCACAGGAGCCTCCACCCTCACAATCACCCCCTCGTCTAGGGGAACAAAAAGTGGCATAAACATAACAACTCGGAGGTTAGTGCGGATTTCTCGGATCGGCGCTGGACCCCCCTCCCTAGCGCGCGGAGCGCGCCAGGGGCGGCGCCGGAGGCGCCGCTGGGGGGCCACAGCGCCGATCCGAGAAATCCGCGCGGACCTCCGAGTTTTTATGTTTATGCCACGTTTTGTTCCACTATCGTCACAAATGGGAGGTTCAGAGCCCCCCTGCCTTCCCCCCCCCGTTCCGCAGGGGGAGCCCCCCCCCCTCGCGCCAGCAAGCGGGCGGGACGCGTCGTCGCCGCCGTCGTGGGGGCGGGTCGGCCGGGCGAGGCAGACGGCGCCGCCGTGAGCATGTCGGTCGGGTGGGCGGGGCACGACGTCGCCGTCGTCGTCGCCGTCGTCGCTCGCCAGCGCGATGGGGGTGGGAGAAAAGGATTTGGACCCCCCCTCCATTTTCCCAACCATCCTGTGGTGTTGGGCCTTCGTCTTGAGAAGACAGCGCCCCGCGTGACTCCTTTCCTCCTCCCACTCCTTCCTCCTCCCACTCATTTCGGCACACCCTTCACACGTTCCGTGGACCCATAGGGGGCTCCACCGAACGCCCCAGTGGCAGGGTCCACATGCGCCGGCGCCACTCATTTCGGCACACCCCTCACACGTTTCGTGGCCCCATAGGGAGCTCCACCGAAAGTCCCAGTGGCGGTGTCCACATGAGCTCCATCGAAGGCCCCAATGACGGTGTCCACATGCGCCCGCGCCACCCATTTCGGCGCCCCTCACACGTTTCGTGGCCCCATAGGGAGCTCCACCGAAGGCCCCAACGGCGGTGTCCACATGCGTCCGCGCCACTCATGCCGGCACGCCCCTCACACGTTTCGTGGCCCGTTTGGCAGCTACGCCGAAGGCTCCAGTGGCGGTGTCCACATGCGTCCGCGCCACCCATTTCGGCGCACCCCTCACACGTTTCGTGGCCCCATAGGGAGCTCCACCGAAGGCCCTAATGGCGGTGTCCACATGCGCCCGCGCCACCCATTTCGGCACACCCCTCACGCGTTTCGTGGCCCCATGGGTAGCTCCACCGAAGGCCCCAGTGGCAGTGTCCACATGCGTCTGCGCCACCCTTTTCGGCACGCCCCTCACACGTCTCGTGGCCCCATGAGGAGCTCCACCGAATGTCATAGTGGTGGTGCCCACATGCGTCCGCGCCACCCATTTCGGCACACCCCTCACACGTTTCGTGGCCTCATAGGGAGCTCCACCGAAGGCCCCAATTGCGGTGTTCGCATGCCTTTCCCCGAACCAGGACAACGTTTCGTGGCCCCATAACGGAGAGCTTCACCGAAGGCTTCAATGCCACCGTCCACAGTACAGCGTTTCGTGGCTTCATAGGGAGCTCCACCGAAGGTCCGAGTGGCGGTGCTCGCATGCGAGACCCCCACCCAACACAGCGTTTCGTGGCCCCATCGGGAGCTCCACCCAATTGCGGTTTCCGCATGCGTTTAGCCCACCCAACACAGCGTGTCGTGGCCTCATAGGAAGATCAACCGAAGGTCCCACTGGCGGTGTCCGCATGCGGTTCCCCCACCGAGGCTCCAGTGGCGGTGTCCGCATGCGGTTCCCCAATTCAGTACAGCGTTTCGTGGCCCCATGGGTAGCTCCACCGAAGGCTCCAGTCGTGGTGTCCTCACGCGGTCCCCCCACCCAATGCAGCGTTTCGTGGCCCCATAGGGAGCTCCACTGAAGGCCCCAATGGCGGTGGTCGCTTTCAGTTCCCCCACCCAATACAGCGTTTCGTGTGGCGTTGTCCGCATGCGTTTTCCTCTCCTTGCCCTTCTTAGCTGTCAAGGTTTCTCTAACTAAGTGCCTGCCAGAGGATTTGTTAACCGCATTCTCCCGAGTGTGCTAGTTGCTTGTAAGCCAGAGAACTTTTTCACTGCGTTTTCAGACATGCTCAACGCACGGTCTGCCCTCTAGGGGACCGCTCCAGTTACAGGAGCCGGCACGCAGACTTCGTTTCCATTCACAAGGTTTAGCGCTTCGTGGCCCCATATGAAGCTTCGCCGAAGGCCCCAGTGGTGGTGTCCACATGCGGTTCCCCCGCCCAGTACAGCGCTTCGCGGCCCCATGAGGGAGCTCCACCGAAGGCCCCAATGGCGGTGTCCGCATGCGGTTCCGCCACCCAGTGCAGCTTTTCATGGCCCCGTAAAGAGCTCCATCGAAGGCCCCAGTGGCGGTGTCCGCATACGGTTCCCCCACCCAGTACAACGTTTCGTGGCACTATAGGGAGCTCCACCGAAGGCCCCCAGTGGCGGTTTCCGCATGCGTTTCCCCCACGCAGTACAGCGTTTCGTGGCTCCAGAGGAAGCTCCACCGAAGGTCCCAATGGCGGTGTCCGCATGCGGTTCCCCCACCCAGGCTCCAGTGGCGGTGTCCGCATGCGGTTCCCCAATTCAGTACAGCGTTTCGCGGCCCCACGGGTAGCTCCACCGAAGGCCCCAGCAGCGGTGGTCGCATGCGGTTCCCCCACCCAGTACAGCGTTTCGTGGCACTATAGGGAGCTCCACCGAAGGCCCAATGGCGGTTTCCGCATGCCTTTCCCCCCACCCAACACAGCGTGTCCTGGCCCCGGAGGAATCTCCACCGAGGGTCCCAATGGCGGTGTCCGCATGCGGTTCCCCACCCAGTACAGCGTTTCTTGGCGCCATAGGAAGCTCCACCGAAGGCACCAATGGCGGTGTTCGCATGCCTTTCCCCCTTCCAGGACAACGTTTCGTGGCCCCATCACGGGGGGCTCCACCGGAGGCTTCAATGGCACCGTCCACAATACACCGTTTCGTGGCCACATAGGGAGCTCCACCGAAGGTCCGAGTGGCGGTGCTCGCATGCGAGACCCCCGCCCAACACAACGTTTCGTGGACCCATCGGGAGCTCCACCCAATCGCGGTTTCTGCATGCGTTTCCCCTACCCAGTCCAGCGCTTCGTGGCCCCATAGGAAGCTCCACCGAAGGCCCCAATGGCGGTGTTCGCATGCGGTTCCCACACCCAGTACAGCGCTTCGTGGCCCCATGAGGGACCTCCACCGAAGCCCAGTGGCGGTTTCCGTATGCGTTTCCCCTACCCAGCGCAGCGTGTCGTGGCCCCAGAGGGAGCTCCACCGAAGCGGTGTCCGCATACGGTTCCCCCACCCAGTACAGCGTTTCGTGGCCCCATGAGGGAGCTCCACCGAAGGCGCAGTGGCGGTTTCCGCACACATTTCTACCACCCAACGCAGCGTGTCGAGGCCCCAGAGGAAGCTCTACCGAAGGTCCCAATGGCGGTGTCCGCATGCGGTTCCCCTACAGCGTTTCGTGGCCCCAGAGGAAGCTCCACCGAGGGCCCCAGTGGCGGTGTTCGCATGCGGTTCCCCTACCCAGTACAGCGTTTCGTGGCCCCATGAGGGACCTCCACCGAAGGCCCAGTTGCGGTTTCCGCATGCGCTTCCCCCGCCCAACACAGCTTGTCGTGGCCCCATAGGGAGATCCACCCAAGGTCCCATTGGCGGTGTCCGCATGCGGTTCCCCCACCGAGGCTCCAGTGGCGGTGTCCGCATGCGGTTCCCCAGCGGTGTCCGCATGCGGTTTCCTTACCCAATACAGTGTTTCGTGCCACCCACCCAATGCCCTGATGGCTGCGCCCGCATGTGTCCCCGCCCCATTTCGGCACACCCTTTACGCGCTTCGTGGCTCCATGAAGAGATCCACCGAAGACGATGCCCACAACGGCGATAGTTGGGTCCTCCGCCAGAAGAATTGAACACTGGATCCATTTTTGACGTTCCAGGCGCGCACGAAGACGGCCCCCGGACAACAGAAATTCTCGAACCCAGAACCTCGAACCTGCCCGCCCTCCCTGCTGGCTGGAACCAATGCTGGGCCACCTCGGACCCCTCGCCGGCTCCAAGGCCACGGATAGCATGACAACCATTGCGATCTCCTGGCGGCGTACCTTTTGCTCCCGCCGGCCGGAATAGCCTCGTCGTGCGCCCGCCGCCTCCCGCTGTTCCCGGGGCGAGGGCCTTCCCGGGACGCGCCACCTGCAGATCCGTCGGCATCGGGGACCTTCTGACCCGGGTCCATCCAGACCCGGGTCAGCAGGAAACAGAAAACCTGCAGTGCAGGAAAAAAAAACTGCAGCGCAGATCCTCGCAAGCCCGGGTCAGCCAGTACCCGGGAGCGGCCAGGAGGGGGGTGTCCAAGAGGGGGGGGTGCAAATCTTGACCGGCGGCATGTGCGCCGCCCAGCGGGGGGGCCAGGGACGTAATGAAATAAGAAGAGGCGCCATAAAATCTGGGAAATATCATGGCCCCCGCCATGATATCCACGCCCCCCTAGTCATCACCCCTTCTTTTCCGCCCCCGAAATACGCGCGGCCGCCTCGCGGCCACGAGCGGCTCGCTGACCCGGGTCCGCCAGAGGGGGCCTTGGCCGACCGGTCACGACTTGTGGCTCTGCGAGGCCTCGGGGCTCCCTGGCGGGGGGAGGGGGGAGGGGGGGGGGAGGGGGGAGGGGGGGAGGAGGGGGGAGGAGGGGGGGGGGGGGGGGGGGGAGGGGGGGAGGGAGGGGGGAGGAGGGGGGGGGTAGGAGGGGGGAAAGGAGGGGAGGAGGGGGGGGGACAGGCGGCACGCCACCAGGCTGCCGCGGATAGAGCAGAGCCACGCCCTCCACCTGCTGCTGCGCCTTGGAGGGGATCGGGAGAGCCCAGGATCGAGCCGATGGGTCGGGGCGGCGATCGAAATGCATCGGATCGGCGGAAGTCGACAGGCCAATGAGGCCGCACTTGAGGGAAACCAAAACGGGCTTCGATGTCGAATCGGAATTGGAATCGCATCCGATCGTCGTCGAACCAGATCGAGTTGGAGGAATCGACACGAGCCCTGGGAGGAGTCCTCCCCTGTGGGCAGCACGCCGGCCCCCAACGCGCCTCGGAAGAGGAAGAACCCCTCTCGGCCAGACGCCGCGCAGAATCGTCACCCGCCTGGCCTCCCTCTGGACCTCTGGGCAGCGCCCTGGCCAGTGCCCCGAGAGTCGAAGACTGCGCGGATGAAGATAAACCGGGCTCACTCACTGAAACCGATAGCAGAGGGCGCCCCCCCGCGCCGCGTGGCGTGAAGGGGGTCCGCGCCACCACCCTGGGGAGGACCTCGCAGGGGTCGAAGAGGTCTGCGCCATCCCTCGGGGGTGACCTCGCAAAGGTCGTCGTGGCCTGCGCCGCTCTCTTCCTGGAGGGTGTGTGTTTCTCTGTGTGCAAAAGTCGAAGGGGTCTGCGCCACCCCTGGGTGGTCTCCACGGAGGTCACTGAGGTCACTGCTCCTCTCCTCCAATACCCCCCAGTGCCTTCGTGGGGAAGGTCTGGACACGAAATGACCTCCCGCACGAAAACGTCGGCTTGGGCCAAACCATCCCTCTGGAATTAAGCACCCGTCTGCACAACGGTGGGCTACCTGGAACGTGCGTGGTTTTATACAACAAAATGATGGGCATCACGGATTATATGGACACATACGGAATCCACATCTCATGCTTGCAGGAAGCATGGATGATTATCCTGGTGTACGGCCCAACCATATGCAGTTGTGGGTATCGCCGTTGTGGGTATCGCCCTCGGTGGATCTCTTTATGGGTCCACGAAGCGTGCAAAGGGTGTGTCGAAACGGAGCGGGGACGCATGCGGGCGCAGCCATCAAGGCCTTGGGTGGCGCTCCTTATGGGGCCACGAAACGTGTAAGGGGTGTGCCGAAATGCAACGGGGCAGCCACGCGAACGTCGCCACTGGGGCCCTCGGTGGAGCTTCCCATTGGGCCACGAAGCGCTGTACTAGGTGGGGGAACCGCATGCCGACACCGCCACTGGGGCCGACGAAGCTTGTTATGTGGCATGAAACGTTGTGTTGGGTGGGGGAACCGCATGCGGACACTGCCACTGGGGCCTTCGGTGGAGCTCCTTATGTGGATGTGGCCACGAAGCGCTGTACTGGGTGGGGGAACTGCATGCGGACACCGCCACTGGGGCCTTCGGTGGAGCTCCCTTTGGGGCCACGACACGGTGTGTTGGGTGGGGGGGACGCACGCGAACAACGCCACTGGGCCTTCGGTGGAACTCCCTGTGGGGCCACGAAGCGCTGTACGGGGTGGGGGAACCGCATGCGGACACCGCCACTGGGGCCTTCGGTGGAGCTTCCGATTGGGCCATGAAAAGCTGCACTGCGTGGCGGAACCGCATGCGGACACCGCCACTGGGACCTTCGGTGGAACTCCCTCATGGGGCCGCGAAGCGCTGTACTGGGTGGGGGAACTGCATGCGGACACCGCCACTAGGGCCTTCGGTGGAGCTCCCTATGGGGCCACGAAGCGTTGTACTGGGTGGGGGGAACGCATGCGGGCGCAACCATTGTGGCCTTCAATGGAGCTCCATATCGGGCCACGGAAACGCCGTACTGGGTGGGCGAACCGCATGCGGACACTGCCACTGGGGCCTTCGGTAGGGCTCCCTATGGGGCCACGAAGCGCTGTAATGGGTTGGGGAAGCATGCGAACAACGCCACTGGGGCCTTCGGTGGAGCTCCCTGTGGGGCCACGAAGCGCTGTACGGGGTGGGGGAACTGCATGCGGACACCGCCACTGGGACCGTGGTGGAGCTCCCTATGGGGCCATGAAGCGCTGCACTGGGTAGGGAAATCCCATGCGGACACCGCCACTGGGGCCTTCGGTGGAGCTCCCTATGGAAACACGAACAATTCTACTGGATGGGGGAACCGCATGCGGACACCGCCACTGGGGCCTTCGGTGGAACTCCATATGGGGCCACGAACCGTTGTACTGGTTGGGGAAACGGCATGCGGACACCACCGCCACTGGGGCCTTCGGTGGAGCTACCTATGGGGTCACGGAGCGTTGTACTGGGTGGGGGAACCGCATGCGAACGCCGCCACTGGGGCCTTCGGAAAGCGCTGCGCTGGGCGGGGGAACCGCATGCGGACTGGGGCCTTCCGTGGAGCTCCCTACGGGGCCACGGTGCGCTGTACTGGGCGGGGGAACTGCATGCGGACACCGCCACTGGGGCCTTCGGTGGAGCTCCCGATGGGGCCACGAACCGCTGTACTGGATGGGGGACGCGCATGCGGACACAACCACTGGGGCCTTCGGTGGAGCTCCCGATGGGGCCACGAAGCGCTGTACTGGGTGGGGGGCGCGCATGCGGACACCGCCACTGGGGCCTTCGGTGGAGCTCTCTATGGAACCACGAACCGCGAAACTGGGTAGGGGAACGGCATGCGGACACCGCTACTGGGGCCTTCGGTGGACCTCCCTATGGGTCCACGGAATATGCAAGGAGTGTGAGGAGGAGGAGAAGGAGTAGGAGGAGTGGGAGGAGTAGGAGGAGGAGGAGGAGGAGGAGGAGGAAATCATGCAGCAAGCCGAAATCGTTCCCCAATCCCGAAAACCGTTCACCATCGACTACGATTAATGAGGTTGCATACGTTACCAGAAGATGCCATCATCGAACACTTATTAGAAGTTTAAACTCATATTGAAACAGCGGAATGATGACTGATGCAAAATGCAGGCATGATGGGGGGAGACAGGAGATGAGAGGAGAGGAGTGGAGTGGAGTGGAGACGCGGGGCGCTGTCTCTTCAAAGCGAGGACCCAACACCACATGATGTTTGGGAACAAAAACATAAGACTGCGAATCTGAGAACAGTGGATGCCGCAACATTACTTCGGGTTAAGAAGGTACAGGTACACCGTCATGGGCTGGAGATGATTTCGTCATCTCTCCGAGCCATGTGCATCTCGGAGGATCGTGCAAGCAAGTTTGCGAAACGATGGCACACTTTAACCAAGAAACCTGGGATGCCGCATGCTCGGGGTATTCGGCGTATACGCACCCCCACAACTTGAAGCCATGGCCAGAGAGGCGTGTGTTTGGGAATACTCTGGGACACTTCCTGCCACAGCCGGCGAAACTATCATGGGGGACGTGACTGCACGAGCTGGGCATGCAGACTCTGGGGAATCGTCGGCTACAGGGCCGCTCACTTGGGGTAGGCGGGCGCTCCATCAGGTCGAAATCTCCAATCGAGATTTCCTCGTGGAGGTTTGCTTCGGTCTCGACGTGAAATTGGCAAACACATGCTTTTAACTGCCATTGGAAGACACAACTACCTGCATGGAGGCGGAAACCACATCGATACAACTTACCTCCGAGACCAACACAACGTTCTGGATTTTGCCGTTTGCGATGCGGCCAGGTTGGGCCAAATGCGGAGTTTCAGAACGCATCGTGAAGCAACTCTGGCAACGAACCACTTCTTGTTGACAACGAAAACCTAATGCGATCAGCAAGACGATCCACTGCCGCACGAGCTCCCTCGAGGCATAGGTCTGCCTCGAGATCCCGCAATGCAATCAATGTGCGCAACATTGTTCTTCGATGAATTTGCAAGCCACGCTGTTTCCTGGGACGTGGGCGCTTTATGGGAGCAAGGCACACATTCAGCGCTAGTAACCGCCACTGTTTTTCCACGCCGTCCAGAAGAGACACAACGACCATGGGTTTCTCAACGTAAATTGGCACTGATACGGCAAAGAAGCGAAGCTCGTGCCAACAACGATCGTCCATAAGAGCACCGTTTTCTGAAAGAGGTGCGGCAATCATTCGCACATGATAAGACAAGCTGGTTGGACTCACACATGGCATCCGCTGGGCGCTGGGGCGATATCCCACCAGCCCTCTGGGCGTAGGTGGTTGAAGGCGTTTCCTCTTCCACCCTTCCCCCCCTCCCCTTCGGGGAGGGGTTTACCCTCCCCCTTCCCCCTCCCCTGGACCTCGACGGGGCCGATCGCGGGTAGTTAGAGCGCCCAGAACGTCCAGGGCGAGGAAGCCTAAATTATTGATTTTACATAGGGTTTTGGCCTCATCTTGGGTTCTTGGGCGGGCAGCGCTAAAAGGAGCTCCCTTCTTCTTTGATCGATATCATCCAAAATGGCCCCAGGAAACGCCCAGGAGGCCCCAAGAGGTCCCAAGATGTCTCCGATGGCTCCAAGAGGCCCCCCGAAGGCCCCAAGGAGGCCCCCAAGAGGACCCCAAGCGGCCCTGAGAGGCCCCCCCCCGAGGCACCCAAGACGCCCAAGGGCCCCCCAGGACCGCCAAGAGACCCCCAAGACGTCCCAAGAGGCCACCAAGAAACGCCCAAGAAATACCCCAAGAGGCTCCGAGAGGCATCCAAGAGACCTCTGGCCCTTTTGATTGCCCTCCTCCTCCTGCTTCTCCTTCCTCCTTCTCCTCCTGCTCCTTCTCTTCTTCTTCCTCCTCCTCCTCCTCCTCCTCATCGTATGCATCCTCCTTTTCCCCACTCCCTCATCCATCCATCCATCCAGCGTCCTCCCTCTCCTCCTCCCTCCCTCCCATGGTTCGGCTGTCCCCCTTTTCTGCTCCCGCACTTCCCCGATCACCTCAGCTCGCCTGGACATCGTTTCTGGATGGGCTGGTGGGGATACTATTGGTTAGCGGGCGCGCGAAACGGGTCGAACGCCGAGCGTGCTACGGCGGGCCGCGCCGGTAGCGAAATGAAAAGCAGTGCGGGCTGGTGGGGCTATTTTTGTTGGCAAGCGTAGCGGAAGAACCGAACACCGTCAGAATGTCGCAAAGCAGCATGCCACGATCTAAATTAGACC